ACAGACAAAGGCAACAACACTTCATTTTAAAAATGAGAGAAAAAAGAGACAGTGCCCCTCCCCAAATATAGAGCTATATATATGTATATTTTATATATATATAGAATTCATCCGTGCACGATTCATTAAATGAACTTTTCAAAAATTAAAAAAATTATAAGATACATATTTCTTTAGGCCTTTGTGTTTTTAAATTAAAACCAGCAAACGTCTCCCTCTCCACCCACTCAGCAGCAAGGGCGGCCTAAACGCTTCCCTCCTGCTACTTGGTCTCCTGCAAGCAGGTTCTGTTAGACCATCAGCCCCCTTGCCTAGCTGACTTCCTGCAGACAGTAGGCACTCACGACTGGAGTGAAGCACTAACCCCTTCAAGACTTGCAGGGGGCAGGGAAGGGAACCTCGAAGGCCTGGGAGGGGCATTCTCGGCCCCCCACCCGCCCAGCTTCCCATTTCTGCATGTTGATGACTGCCAGCAAGAGGGGCCAGGGAGACCCTCTCCTGGAGTTTTAGCCCCTCGTTCTGGGCTTCTGAATTGAAGAGATGCAGACAGGGAAAAGGTAATCCTTTCAACACCTTCCTCTTTTCTTTTAAAAAGTGATTCCATACAAGCTCCAAAGAGGCTGCCTTGGGCAAGTGCATGGGAGCCCGAAAGTGGAACAGACCAGATGGGGCTCCACTGTCCAGCGTGGGCGAAGTGCAAAAAAACCAAAGCAAAAACAAAAAAACCAAAGCAACAACAAAACACAGAAAAGTGGGGAAAGGGGGTGCGTCCTCTTGGGACCTCAGAGGCCAGAAAGACTGGCAGCGGCCTGGCCCCCGTGGCTAGCCCAGCTCTCTCCTCCAGGCAGACCCTCCAGCCTTGGGCAGACCCAGTGGCCGGGACCTCACCCAGGCAGCCTGGCTCTGGGGTTGGCTTCCAGTCTTGTGCTGGCTTTGGGACTGGGCCCTGCCTTTTAAAGGGCTTTTCCCTAAAGACCAAGACATCCTGGGCCCTTGTCCCTGCCACATTCCCCCAGTGAAGGAGCTGAGCTTCTCAGAACCCGTCTCCTCCTCTTTGAAAAGAGGTGAGCCCCCACTCTGCCCACCTCACACTGAGGTTGGGGACTTGATCATCACCTCTTTCCAGATCACAGGAAGGATGAGGCTCATTTCAACCTTGACCCCTTTGCAGGGTAGAATAAAGAGGGGCTGTGGGTGGCTGGAGGACCCAGTGCCAGCAACCTTGACCCCCACCTGGCACTTGGCAGCTGCTCGGACACCAGTAGCACTTTACATAGAGGCCTTGCTGCCCAATATGCCCATTTCAGAGAAGGGCAAGCTAAGGGTCAGAGGGAGGATGAGACAGGGATGGTTCTGACTCTGTCTCACACCAGACTCCACCTATTTCCTATAACAAGTGAGTGGGGAGGGGCACACTTCAGGGGAGATGACCGATTCCCTGACCAATATTGAACACGGGAGAAGATTGGGCTTTGGAGGTTGTTTCACATACAAAAATAAAGCAAACCAGATTGCAACCTTTGCTTGGCAATTAGGCAAATAGAAAGCAGCAAGGGATGGAGGAGGGGCCCGCAGGAGGCCGATCCCGTGCAAGTGTGTGGGGGCAGGGGCGTGCGGGAGGGAGGGGAGGGCTCCCCTTGCCCTGATCCCAGACACTCAGGCCGCAGGGGACGGCCCGCCTCTAGGCAGTGTGCAGGCTGCCGGCTCGGAGCTCAGGGCCGCGGAAGGGAATGGGCATTCCTTTCTCCCCAGTTCCCCCTAGTCCAGTCACCGCCTAAGATTCTCCCAGGGCCCGCGGCTTCTTTCTTCTTGAAGCCCCCTTCTGGCCAGGGAAGCTCAGGGATGTCATGGTCTTTGGGTGATGGGGAGGGAGGGGCCCCCATGGAGTGGTAGCGTAGGGACCAGGTGGCCCAACAAGTTGGCAAAGAGGAGAGCAAGAAACCAAACTGCCTCCTCATCAGCCTTCCTGGAGAAAAAGACCCATGACGAGTCCTGGCAGTGCTGGGACCCCTGCTGACCTCCGCCCCCAATCTCACCTCCTCAGTCTCCATCAAACTGCCTAATTAACTCCCTTGGGACCTGCTATCGTCCTTCCCTTTGAGCAAGGACAGGTGTGGAGGTCTGGGCCCAGGACAGCAGGGAGGAGGGTGGACTGCGGCCAGGCCACCCCTGCAGTGCCTGCGTCCCCAGGGGTCCCGCCAGCTGGGCCAGCCTCCGCCCCATCCCTAACATTGCCACCTCACCTGTGCAATCACTGCGTTACTATTTTTTTCTTTAAATACCTCTTTCTTCCCCCCCACCCCCCTAGGAATCCCACAATATTTTTTTTCTTTTTTCTTTTTTTTCCTCTTTTTTTGTTTTTGTTTTTTTGCAAAACTAATTCTTTCACTTTCCTGTCATAAAATCACCTCTGAAAACACAACTTCTTTACAAAAAAAGTCACGAATGACACGGACTCTCAGGAAAACACATTTCTATGGTCTCTGGAAACACCTGTAACTGGCACCCAGGTGGTCACTCACCTGGAGAGGAATTAGGGGGAAATCACCTCTAAAGACAGAGGAGAAATGCCAGCCCTTATTTGGGGGAAAAGCCAATTGGCACTTGGACGGCCACTAAGCCAACGAAGGGCAGGGTGGGGAGGAGCCAGCAGTGCCAGGCCCCAACCCTGTGAGAGCCCCTGTTCTCCAGCCCAGAGTGGGAAGGGTCAGGGCCACCCTGTCACCCCTACAAGGGAGATTCAGAAGGAGGGTGTCCTCCCATTCTTAGGACCAAAGGTGCTGTGTTCTGATTGGATTCCCTTCCCGCCTCCCACCATGGTGCTTCTGGGCACAAGTGCCAATGGCTGTATGCGCCAGGAAGCCAGCTCCAGTTCCACACAGGAACATGCCACCCACACCCAATGGAGACCCAGGTAGCAGCCCAGGGTTGACCAGCGGGGACCCCAGTCCCACTCTCAGGACCAACACCCTCGCTCTCCTAGAGGACACAGACCCTCTGAGGTCTCTCCCCTTTGGCTGCCCACCCTCCCAGTACCCAGCCTAAAGCCAGGGCTGTGGTCTCTGCCACTGGCATGGATGCCTCCGCTACCAGGCAGCAGAGGAAAACAAGCTGCCCAGGGCATCAGAGGCTCTCACTGCTTCGAGTAGGCTGGGCTGTGAGAAAGCCTCAGCAGTCAGAAGCAAAAGAGAGGGGCTGGGAGAAGCCAGGAGACCCTCAGGAACGGCTTCCGGGCTTCCCCATCCTCCCCGAACACTCTGGAGGAAGGGGAAGCTTGGAGGAGGAGTCTCTCTCTCTACCTCATTCCCCACCATGCCATGTCTGCAGTGAAGGCCCAACTGGTTGGGCTGACCACCCCGAGGAGGGCTGGGCGGGGAGGCCTGGTAGCGTCCACAGCAAACTACACAGGCCTAAGCAAGGCCTCCAAGCCCTCAAGGCAAAGCAGGGGCTAAACCTTCAACCACCTGGTTCTGAGGAACCATGGAGGGTGCTGCCTGGATGGCCTGGGCCTAGCACCCAATGCACGTATGGACCCATATACAAACACGCCAGGTGGGGCGGACACACATGCACAATTGGAGGTTCCACAGCAGGTTCTCATAGCACCTTTGGTCAAGAACGGAGGGGCCTTCAGATGCTGGGAGGCCACGGCAGGGCGCGTTCTCTGCCAGTTCCTCCCACCACTGAGGCAGGGGATTAGGAAAGAGTCAGGGTGGGGATGGGGCACAGGGGGTCTGCTCGAGCCTCATCCAAAAGTGAGCAGGGAAGACCCCTGCCTCTGGCCCAGCTTCTGATGCCCTCGCTGACGTGGAGGGAGGGACCGAGGCTGGCCTCATCCTCAACCTGTCTGGGGCTTTGCCAAACAGGCAGGAAGCCATCCCTGCCCCTCTTGCCCAGGCACCTGCAGGAAGGAAAGGGACTGTGCCCACCCTGGGTGGGGGTCTTCTAAGGGCCCCACAGCTGCCAGGTTAGCACCGAGAAATCAGATGCTGTACACGAGAGCGGAAGCAAGCTGGGGAGAGACAGGGCGGGATGTGGAAGGGGCAGGGGAGCCCTAGGTTCTGGGGTTCCCAGGAACCCCTAGTGGGCCTCACCATGCACGGGCAGGGAGGGCACCAAGAGACAAGAGGAGCACTTCTCAGTGCCACGCCCTGCCCCATTCCAGGGCCGTCCAGCCCACAGCCTTCAGGGCTCCACTGCCTAGCCCCATCCCTGGGTCAACACTAAGCCACTTGCAACAAGCAAAGCACAGGGGATGGGCTGAGGGCAGGGGCAGGAGCAAGAGTATGACTTCAGGTGGGGCCCCCCCAAGCCCCCTCCCTGATGGAGCCCCTCACTTGCTCGCCCCATTGCCGCCACCCCCCCCTGCAGCACCTGCTACCCCTGTAGCCACCTTCTCGAAATCCTCAGGGTTGCAGAATTCCTTGATAGTGACCGTCAGGAGGTTGCTGGTGACATCAGTGACGACCACATTGGAGCAGGGTGACATCTCAGGGCGCCAGTCCCCAGCCTCGGGCTCAGAGGAGGCACTGGCGGGCTCAGGGGCGGTGGGAGGCACCTGGCCAGCGGCAGCAGTGACATCAGGTGGTACCCGCTTGCTGGTGTTAGCTGCCTCAGCAGGGATGGAGAGGTCGAGCACCTCAGGCTCGCGCCAGCTGGGGGCAGATGGGCTCATGGTCTCGGGGAGGAGCTTGGGGGGCGTGTCATCGGGGTCAGAGGAGGACTGCGGTGTCGGTGAGGGGCAGCCGGAAGAGCTGGAGCTGTGGGCATCATAGGGGGCGGTGGGGGTGGTCAGAAGCAGCCCCGGGCTGGGGGAAGTGGCAACCTCGGGCTTGCCA